GGAGTACATAAAATGATAAGATTTTTTTCAAAATATTCAACAAAACAAATGTAACTCATATTGTCACGTTGAGTTCAACAAGAATAAGAGCCCGTTTGGTAACATCGAAATTGGCTGAATCAGTTGATGTTGCTGAATTTTATGATGTTTGGGCTCATGTGATTGGATTGACTGGTTCTGCTGAATTATGGAAAAAAATTAAATATATTTTATTAATACAATAAAGGAAATTTACATAAATAAATAGCTAAAATGGTCATCTAGAGTAACTGCAACCAATAATACAGTCAGAAAAATAACCCCAACCTTAATTATTTTTATTATTACACAACTCACCGCGTGAAATTAAAAATTACGTGAATTGAGTTACCAATTAAATGAGCTCTAAAATTAAGGGTTACTTTTATAAGAACTCATAATTAGTATGACCCGCAAACTCGGTCTCGCTATGATTAATTGTTAAATTACACTAGTCAATGAGTAAGCATAATGATCATTACACAAATGTTACACTCGTTGCTACAAGTGATTTGAGCACTGGCATAGGTGTAATAGAGTTCATGTTTCATTTTTTAGCTTGTTAAAAGTTTCTTACATATTTTCATATGTATTAAGGGACGGGGGTGTCTCCAACTAGGACTTGAATCATTTTTTTTACTCCAAGGGGGCTTAGGGGAGGGGGCCCAAAGTAATTACGACTGAAACTCACTCTATTGAATTTCAAACTCTTTATGTGTCTAGCGGGTTTCGAACTCGAGACCTCTCACGAGGCAGGGTAACCTCGCAACCAACTGAGCAAGAATGCTTGGTTGTACTTGAATCAATTTTAAAAGATCATGGATTTTGAAATCCGATGGATTCCACAAGATTTGTAGTGGAATGTTTTGTATATAGATGTCCATCAAAATTCATTAAAATTCATCCAAATAAGTAATAATAGAAATCCATATAATGTATGAAAACACCCTTGTTTTCACAGAAATCCAAATCGGGAACACCTGAATATTGTCGGAATTCTAAACTCCACTAAAATTCTCCAGAATTCAAATCGGGGACACCCCCTTAGTTTCATCTTATATTTTACACATTAGCGGTTTAACAATAATTCACTATAATAGTTAAATATATTTTATTTGTTAACGGTTAACCGGTAACATACAAGAATTGTGGTCACATGACACTGTCGATTCTTCCATCGGCTCTTAAAAAAATTATAGAATCAAACTGATAATATTGGATTAACCTTTTTTCGAATTGTTCTTAATTTTATTTAAAAGAATCGAACCGATCTCATCCCAAATTTTTTCATTGATAATAAAAAATCAAAGTTTAATGTTTATTTAAGTCTAAATTGTGTATTCCTTCAAAAAAAGATTATATTGTGTATTGGTATTGAAGTAGATTCTCCTTGTTTTATACGTAGTATGTTTTTTATCGTAGATAAAAAAAAGTTTAAATGTACACCGGATATCATTTTCTATTCCTATTAAATATAGACGATTTGCCATTTTAAAGTTTTCAAGTGAATGAAGGTAAACTTTGATCAATTATAAACTATATTTATAATAAAGTATTTTGTCCTATATAGGTTTAAAACAAGGTTAAAATGCAAAAACAAGATTTGTTATGTTTTTTTCCCTTTTCCCTTCATAATCCGTCGATTCCTTCTCCACCAAATCAGATCTAGAGTTAACTGCATTTCATCATCTCCAAGTAGATCTTCGGATTTCATCGCACAATGTTGACTACTCAACCGCTTCGCTTGCATCGCCTCTGATTCGCTACCTTCACCTCCGTTTCATTGCCTTCGCCTTCCACCTTCATCATGTATAATTCTCCGAATTTTCAGGTTTTTTGCTTTCTTCTTCTTCTCCTCCTCCTCCTTCTCCTTCTTCTTCATATTTCTATTCTTCTGTTTTTCTGGATTTTGACATGGATTTTGCCAATTTTCAGGCTTCTATTTTCGTATTTTCGACTTCTGATTTTCTTACTTTTTTAAAAAATTGATTTTCCGGATTTTTGGATGATGGCATACGATTTTGCCAAGTTATTGGCAGAAATGTACATTGGTAATCGTATCATGGCAAAAAAAAGTTTTATATAAATTGTTTTTTTTCAATAACTTCATATTTGTAATTTCCAAGTATGTTAGAGTGTTTATTTTACATTAAAAATTGGAATTTTTCAAAAATTTGGTTATTCATTTCATGTTTTTCCCAAATTTATGGCAGTTTTATGTAGCCCTTCCAAGATAAATCTGCCAAATCTCTGGCAGATCTGAAATCCTTGTAATTGCAGTTTTCAAATTAATCTTCAAGGTTAAATATGCCAACTCTATGGCAGATTTTTGTGCCAGAGTTATGATGGCGGCAGTGCTCGGAAGTGGAGTGGTGGCCCTGAAGTTGACATTGGTGGTGGTCGGTGGACGGTGGTGATGGCGGCGGATGGTGACACCAGCGTGGCAGGCGAGACAGGCGGTGAAGGTGGAGGCATATAGCGCCGGCGAGACAAGCAGCAGACGACGGTGAGGGTGGTGGTGGGCGGCGCCACAGAGGGCGATGGCAGGCACCACTACCAAGGGTGGCGGCGGGCGACGGCGTCGAGCGGCGCCAGCTAGGGCGGCGGCGGGTGGCAACATCGTCAAGGGTGGCTGAACTGCTATATGAAATTTTAGGGTTTCAACAAATTGTAATTTTACATTTTTAAAATTAAATTCAAATAAAAACTGAATGGGGGCATTTTTGTACAAATAAGTGATTTAGGTCCTACGAAACATAGATTTGTTTTTCAGTCCTATTTGTGCACACAGAACTTCTTTTAGTCCTAAACAGGTAATTAACTCTTTAAATTATAAACTACTCTCTCCGTCCCATTAGACTTTGTCAACTTTTCTTTTTTGGTTGTCCCAAAAAATGTTGTCACTTTCCTATATATGGTTCTGCACATTTCTCTCTCCGCTGCACAAATTTCAACCACACATTTTTACTATTCTTATTCCCCACCTACTTTGCAATTGACAAAGTCCACCAGGACGGAGAGAATATTACTTATAAAAAATTATAATTGATCAAATTTTAACATTGAAAATGGTTGAATCAGTTGAATCTACTAAAATTGATAAAATTTTAGCGGAAGCGACTGAATTGATTAAATATGTTGATAAACATACTTCTTATGTTATCAAAGCTCAAGCTCATTAGCTCATTAATTAGGACAATTTTGACTTGACTCATTTGCCATCTTGTCTACTGGCATTGGTGCAAATAAACCCTTTCGTGGTAGTACAATATTAATGATGGTCGTTAGTAACATGCATGCCTCGTAGGCTCGAATGATAGGAAGACGGTACCAGATTCAAACATCGATTCTACTCTTTTTATTTTAGCGGAAAGAGTTGACTTTAACTATATTACATTATTAATTACTCGTATTAATAAAAATTAGGGAGATTCTTCCAATATGACTAAATGAAATTTTAATTGTCAAAATAGGACAATAGTTTAAAAATTCTCTAAATAGGACTAGCTTTCCAATCCTACCCTTTCCTTCTTTTAAAACAATTCATATTTAATTAATAATTAAAATATAAAGTATTAAACATAAATTTATTTATAATAAGAATTTAAAAAAAAATAAAAAAAAAGAAATAAAAATTATTTAAATTAATAAAATAAAAAAATTCGAAAAATAAAAAATTATAAAATAAATAACTTAAAAAATAAAAATAAAATAAATAAATAATGTAAAAAATATTCAAAAAAATATGCAGGCCTATGATGCCGCCTCAGCAACCTCCCGACACCACCAAGTCCAATCACACGAAAAAAATGCGAACATGTGTCAGAAATGCCATCTTGATGGCAGTTTTCAAAAAAACTTTTGGCATTTTCAAGAGTAAACATATCATCTTTATGACACTTTCAGAGAGAAAATGACAGTTTGTACACAAAATGACATTTTGAGCCGTTCAAAGATAAAGTTGCTTGGTAGTAGCCGAGACTGTGGGAAAAGCCTTCATTTTTCTTTATATTTTTAAGGTGTTTTACCCTTTTTTTTTATTTATTTTTAAAGTTTTTAATTTTTTTAATTTTTATGATTTTCGTATTTTTTAAAAATATTTTAGAGTTTTTTTTTTGATTTTTTGTATAAGTTAAATTGTTTTTAATATTTTTTGTACTTATTACAAATTAAAATATAATTATCCTTTTAAGTTGTGGTAAGGGTAGAATAGGAAGATATAGAGTATACTTTAGTCCTATTTGGGGAAGATAAATAACATAGTCCTATTTGTGTATATAGAGATTAATTTAGTCCTATTTAGGGCTATTATCTCTAAAAAATTATTAGACAAATAAATATTTTTTTAAAATATTTTTGAAATAAATTTTGTTTATAAAAATATTAATAGCATTATTATCAGTACGGTCATGACATATATAGTCATTTACATATAAAAGTTAAAGACAACTTTTTAATACAATTACTACACTTAAAAATACATTTTTGTAAGTACATTTATAGTAGTCATATGTTAATTGCATTATACTACGTATCTAATTAAAATGTGTATAATTTTCTCACTAATTTAAAAATAATCTTATAATCTTGCTAATAGCACACACTTCAATATTATCAAAAAAATAAGGATTATGTATTGTCATAATGTATGGGCCGGGCTATACGTGTTCTTTTTCCTATGTATGAACTCGTACTCCGTTTCATTTTAGGAATATTGTCACGATAATTTATATTTATAGGATGTTTTTGTTTTGGACCGTAATTTGTTTGTCTGGTCTTATTTGGTGTGATCTGGTCCAGTAAAAGTTTAATCTCTGTTTATTTTATAACTGGACAAATCTAGCCTGTTTTTATCTAGTCCGGTCTAACTAATTAAATCAGGTCTGATCTGATCTTGTTTAAATGTGATTTGATATCTAGGACTTGAAAATAACCCAAAAGAAAACATTATATAGCACATTCAAAATAGGCAAACAACAATTATGTAATTTCATTGATGGCTACATGGAGGCTAAAACATCTCCAAATAGGGGTTGGGAATAAAAACGGTTGCATGGGTACATGATTGGCACTAAATTCCATTTATTTTCTGAGAATATTTTATTCGACACCCCCGAAAATATTGATAAAACAGCAATATGATGAATAAATCTAGGATCCGTAAACGATCTGAATGTTGTCGACGGTGACGACGCCGCCGCCGACTTTGGGAGCCAGCGTGACGAGGATTGTGTCGTCGTCTTCAGCGCCCAAATCCTCCAACGGCTCGTTCAGGCCCAAGCTCAGGCTTGTCTTTATTTTCTTGGACCCCTTGTGCTTGTGCGGCAAGTGAGCAAAGCTTCCGGCGTACTCCGCCGCCTCTTTCCCGCCCTCTGGCTCGTCTTCATCGTTGAGGTACACATCAAACTTTGCGTACTCATCTATGGAAACCTCAATGCCTGTTTGTGCGTGGGTCACATGTGCGTTAATACGAACGGAGTATCATAAATATACAAGACAATTTTTTAAACAAGACTAAAAGAATAGAAAATTGAAGTGTATTAATAAGTTATTTGAATGCTTTCCGATTGAAGTTTTAGCTGAAATTTGGTATGGGTAATTAACTAGACTTAATGAATAAAATTCTCATAATATTTCATCGAAAAATACCATCGAAAATAATCTCAAATGACGTCGGCCGAAAAAAACCTCCTATATAAGGTCTTACTTGACATTTTTTTTGTAAGTTCGAGACCCTATCTCACCATTTTCTCATAAGTTTATTATAAGTAGTTTTAATCTTAACTTATTCTTTTAGTATGACTAAATAAGTAATACGGAGTACTGGTATTTAAAAAATAAAGAGAAAGTGGTCAAATAAGGCCTCCTACTATTATGAAAATAGTCACATAAAACATGTACTCAATAAAGTGTCATATAAGTACCTCTACTTGTATAAATCAATCAAATGAGTCTTAACGGGTTATTTAACACCTCCTAATCCCGATTTTAGCTTACATGTCGATTTGTTTTACTTGTATTTCAACTAATCTTAGTTAAATATTCGACATATGTCGTATAATGTATTCTAAAAAGATGGTCAGAACTACGTGGAATCCGAGATTAAGAGGTGTTAAATAGGTCATTAGGACTCATTTGATTGCTTTTTACAAGTAGATGTACTTATATGACACTTTATTGGATACATGACCTTATGCGACTATATTTCATAATAGTAGAAGGTCTTATTTGACCATTTTCTTAAAAATAAAACATATTCCATCCTATTTTTGAATTTATGTTACTATAACACTACATTTTATATAGTAACTAATAGTTATATTTGTGTAAATGTATTTTATTTTAGGATTATTTTGTAAAAAGCCCAAATGAAAATATAATATTATCAAATTTGTAGTAAATTTTCAGAATATAAGAGAGTCAAAATCATGCATTTACAAGATTCGATGTTAAATCATTGACTAAAGAATAACACTAGTACTACGTATAAAGAATGTTTATTCCGTACCTTCGATCAACAGGATCTCTTCTTCATCTTCCTTTTCCTGATTGGTTCTGGACTTTTTAGGTCTGGCGACCTTGACTTGGACCACCTTGTCCAGTGCAACGGGGAAGACGCTGGTCACGAACGGGGCGGTCGACATGCCAACCAGACCGGCCCTCTTTTTCGTCGGGATCGGTTTACTGTTGAGCCAGGTCAAGTTCGCGAACTCGTACCTGTACCCTAATTTCTGGTTATCCAAACAGTCCCCAACGCGCACCCTAACGGCTTGCTTGTTCTCGTCGTAGAATATGAAGGAAGAGTCCAACCAGTCGGAGTCCGTGAAGTCCGACCGTCTACTCCCCTTCCCGCCGAGCTGTTTCCAGATGGTCCACATCCGGTCGCAGTTGGAGTGGTGGCAGTAGAACAACACGTCCCGCCCCGCGGAGTAAAAGTTCCCGAGGTCCTCCCCGTTCTTCGTCCGCGGTGCCACGTCGCCGACGAATCTGTGCACCGGGGTGTGCGGGATATTCTCAATGGACCCGCCACCGCCTTTCAAGGGAGAGTCACCGGCGACGTAGGGCTTCCCGAGGAAGAGCTCGGCGGTGCCCGCGTTAGTGACCATGCTCTTATACATCAGGGCGAGGTTGTTGGAAATCCTCTCCTGGTCGGTTGCCGGGGTGTCTTTCCCGGCGTACCCGAGGTCAAGAAGAACCGGTGGAAGGTGGGATTGGTTACGATTCTCGTCGTAGAGAGGGGAGTTTTTATTCGTGAAAGCGGACGGAATCAGCATTCCCGCCGGGGTATCCCAGTTCCAGAATGGTAGCCCAAAGGTAGGGTCTCCGATCAGTTTCCCCAAGATTCTCTCGTAGAAATACAAGTACCATCTATGGAATGGGAAAAAAAGCCACGAGTTGTGAACAGTGATCTCCTTGTCGGGATACCCTGGTTGCACATAGCCGCCATTGCAGTAAGCACAGTGGACGTTAGCTTGCTGGTAAAAGTTTCTTGGGTCGTCGGCGGGAAGCGCCTTCATTAGCTCGATCGCTTTCTCGAACTTGGCCAGGTACACTTTGTCCATGCGGTGGGCCGCCGGCCGGACTTTCATGTACGCCGGAGAGACCTTCGGGAGTTTGTACGGGATGACGTTAGTGACGAGAGGAGGGCAGCAGTTATCGACCAATGCGTTGGCCGGTAAGTCCGCCGGAGGGACGACGCAGTTGGAAAGTTCGGGGGCTTGGATGGGATCGGCGTAGGCTGAGGGGTTGGAAGCGAGGTTTACGGCGCCGTAAAGGCCGCCCAAGCCGAGAAGGATATCCCTTCTATCTAGCTTTTGATTGTCACCGCCGCCGCCGGGTGCGGCGTTGCATGTGATGATGGATTTGAAATGGTGGCCGCGTTTTGCGGCGCTGATGTGGATCTGGGAGGGTTTTGCTAAAGGGTATGCGGCGGAGGAGGAGAAGGGCTTAAGGTTGGGAGGGAGAACGGGGGAAATGCATGGAGAAATAAGAGATGCCATTGGTGGATGTTTTTGTGTTTGATCTCTTCATTGTTTTCTTCCTTAAATAGAAAGATGTTGATGATGGTGATAAAACGACTGACGTCAGTTAGGTGAATGTCTTAAATGCACGACCATGCTCAAGCTCACTTGCTTATTACTCCTTACACGAAAAAGTTGGCTAAATTTCCTTTTTGTACGATTCAAAAAGATTTGTCATTTCCATTTAAAGTAAGGAATACGTGGCTAAAATTAATTCTCTCTCCTTTGTACAAATTTCAACCACACAGTTTTTACTTTATTAATCAATGTGAAAGTTAATTTTGGTCAATCATTTCGGGATGGAGGGAGTACTATATGCAAAAGTTCCCCAAGACTAACACAGTTTCAAAATTTTAAAATAGGACTATCATGTTTTTTATTTCCAAAATATGACTAATTACTGCCATGTTTAGAAAATACTGACTTGTTTGAAGTCTGGTACTGCCAAAACATGACAGTAATTAGTCTTATTTTGGGAATAAAAACATGTGAGTCCTATTTTGGATTATTAAATTGTTTTAGTCCTATTTCGGGTAATATCTCTTACCATATGAATTGAATATAGTGTAGAATATACAGTACCTCCATCCCAATTTAGTTTGCCATCTTTGAATTTTCTAGTCAAAGATGGTAAACTTCAACCAATTATTTTAACTAATGTATTTATGCAAAATTTAATGGTTTTATACTTTTATGACAGTATTTTTAACAAAGAACATTTTCGTATTATGAATACTTTCTTTATATAAACATATAATCGGTCAAAGTTTGAAGACATTGATTTGAAAATTCAAGTTTGGCTAAGTAAAATGGGACGAAGGAATATTTGAATTTTACCAAAAATGAAATATATACATCCCTCGATCCCTCATCCCCTTTATTATAAAAATTCTCCAAATAAGAGTAAGTCATAGTCTAATTTATCAAGAAATAATGACAAATATAGGAAGTTGACTAAATAAACATGAATGGGCATAAATATCCTCTAAATTCTAAAATGACCCAGTGCCATCGTCTCGACTCGATCTCCCCTTCGTCCTTCACAATTGGCTTCTGGACTTCGACGTTGCTTCCTATAAATTCAGGTCGCGCCGTCTCGCCTCTGCCTTCCGGTCTCCGCCTCCAGATCCAGGTTATTGCATCTCCTCCGTCTTCATGTCACTCCCTCACCTCCGCTTCAGGTTGCCGCTTTCGCCTCAAGGTCGTTGTCCGCTACTCCTCTCCGTTTTCTCAATTTCTGTCTGAGTAGAAGTGTATTGCATGTGATGGCAACCAAGAGTCTGAGGTTAGAAGAAGCATATGTCCGTAAATCTTACTTTTTTTAATTCAAACCTTACCCATTATGATTATAATACAATTAAATACGCGAAATTAAAAGTTACTTATTTTTTAAAAAGTTGATTGATAAGTTCAAAAAAAGAATTACCAAACAAACTATTGCCTTTTGTTATATTTTTGCAATTATTTTTAACCTAATATAGTTTCTGTTCAATTGTTGAACTGACTTTTATCATAGGAAATTTAAAAAAAAATATTGATTTCCTTTATTATTGACCCTATATATTGAATAATAAAAATCAAGTAGCCTCTAATTAGTGATTGTACTGTCGATAAATTTGTCTTTGACTTCTAACCTCTAAGAGAAGAAGAAGAAGGAAATAGAGGACGACTAGACGAGAAGGAACATGAAAGGAGGAGGAGAAGAAGTGTTCCGATTGAAAGAGAGGGAAAGAGAATTAAAGGGCAGGGAGAGAGAATGCATAGGGGTGGAAAAAGACAAAAAGTCTTAGAATTTATATCTTGATAATTTAAATTAAGTAGTCCACTTTATATTTCCTCTGTTTTATATTTTTGCTACTCCGGTCTCATTTTATAAGATATGTTTCACATTCACTTGGTCAACACAAATCACTCTTAATATCTTATTTTATACTTCGTATATCAAATTTGATTCTTATTTTTGCGAGTATGTAAAACTTTTAATGTAGTTTCTAAATATGTAATTTTTTTTCTAAAAATAATTTGAGTGCGGACAGAGATCCATTTGCTTTATCGTCGGTCAAACAATGTAAGATGTAAGGTGTCTTACAATTCGGGACGGTCAAACAATGTAAGATGTAAGGTGTCTTACAATTCGGGACGGAGAGAGTATATTGACCGGTGAAAATACCCTCACTAAATGTACAATTTGGTAGTTTTTGTGAGGGGAAAATCACTCTAACTAAAGTCCATGCTTTTATGACAGATTTTCAACTTTCTAATCTATTGATAAAAAATACTGTCACTATTGATCCCAAAAGACAGAATATTATTAGTGTACTACCCGGAAAACTGCCCCCAAAAATTTCAGTCCCAATTATTTCGTATGAGGCGGTCTTTGTAAACCCTAAGATACTGCTCCTGAAGTGAAAATGTTTGGAACATCACCAACTCTACATGCTCAACTCCAAACAAACACTGGGGAATGGAAGGCAAACGACTTATTCCTTTTTATTGATTGACTGATGCCCTCACTCATATGGATCAGCCGCAGAATTTTTTTTCCTATTATAGATCACTACCAACTCCCATCTCACGAACTGGATTTGAACTTTCATCAAGCGAGTAAAAGGTATATGTATTTCTACGATTCTGTCCATCATCCTTTCTCGTGTGCAGAGTACAACCAGATCTCTCATTCTCGGTCCGGAAATCACCACTTCTCGTGTAAACTGAGGCAGTGTTTGTTTTGGTCGAAGCAGGTGACTTCACAACACTCATATTTTTCTTTGTTTTGTTATATGGTCTGTGATTTTTCTCCAGGTTCGTAGTTTCTTACGTTTTCTCTGGTGTTTCTTGACATTTCTTGGTGGTTTCGGTAAGTACTTATTCATTTAAAACTTTAATCATCGTTGCTACGATTTTCAATATGTTGTTGAGATTGAATATCCAATTTTTTGCTAAGGAGTAATGTTCATTATCGCGGAAGCTTTCTTTTCAATCCCTAATTTTCTAGTTTGTTGACTAGATGGTGTTTATTTGAAGTTTGTATTCGATTGCTTCTCATTCTCAACTCTTCACGAAGATTCTTGTTAGGATACTATTCATTATTCTTTCTTCATAGCAAAACCTCTTAACATGTGTTTTCCTTTTCTTTTCTACTAAATTTTGTTGAAAGTAATCCAACTTAGTCATACATGACTGCATGAGATTGCATGGCTACATGCATACATGGCATTTGGTTTATTTATTCATTAATTATCCGTTTGTTATCATTTGAATAAGTCTAAGCATGGTTACCTATTGTTAAGGAGTCATTATTGCTTAGCTACTTATGTAGTTATACACTTTTGGATATGGCTATTAATTAGGAAGTTGTTAGCTTATTTATGGTTATTGTTCTATGTAAAAATGGCTATATATAGCCCATATTTCATACGAATGAAGGTAAGCTTTGATTGGCCTCTTTCTCGTGTATATACTTCAAGAATACTAAACCTAGCCTAACCTACATTTGGTATCAGAGCTCAGTGAATGATCAATTCCGTTTGAGTGATATACAGGAGAGAAACCCTTAACCAACACCAAAATATGCAAAATATGCAAGGCTCGGTGAATGGCAATTTAGTCAACCAATTACCTTTGTTCAAAGGGATCAATTATCACTTTTGGAGCTTGAAAATGAAGACCCTCTTCAAATCACAAGAACTATGGAGCATGGTAGAGGATGGGTTCGTTGATGATCAGCCTGAGGAGCCTGATCAAGCCCTTAGAGAAAAGAGGAAGAAAGATGTCAAAGCTCTTTTTATAAGGTAGCTTGGAATATTCTTAAGTAAGAATACTTGGGAGATAAGAAGGTGATCATGGTCATATTGCAATCTCTCAGGAGGGAGATGGAAAACACACACATGAAGGATAAGGAGTCTGTAAGAGACTACCTATCTAGGATTACATCCTTGGTTCAGCAGATGAAGTCCTATGGAGAGGAAATTAAACCTCGACAGGTTGTAAGCAAAGTAATGAGAAGCCTTACACCCAAATATGGACAACTTGTGTGTGCTATTGAAGAGGCTAAAGATCTCGAAACCTACACATTTGAAGAGCTCAATGGATCTCTTGAGGCTTATGAAGAAAGAAGCAATAGTGAGGTTGAAAAGACTGAAGAACAGGCTTTTCAAGCCAAGGGTGAAGCACCTAGTAGTCAACCCTTCCAGTTTCCAAGTAGCGGAAGACGAAGAGGTAGAGGAGGTTTTAGAGGTGCTCATGGTGGAAGAGGGAGAGGGAGAAGTCACTCAAGTCATGAAGGAAGGAAGGGTGGTTATAAATCTCAAGTTAAGTGCTATTATTGTAACAAAAATGGCCATAAGGAATCTGAATGTTGGAAAAAGAATCCAGAGGAAGCTCCCAGAAATGAAGATCATAGGTCTAATTTTGTTGAGCAAGAACAATTGTTTATTGCTCACCATAATTCAGATCATGATGCAGGAACAGTTTGGTACACTCATAGTGGTTTCTCAAACCACATGACAAGATCCAAAAGCATGTTCCAAAATATTGATGACACTGGAAAGGGTGTTGTCAGACTAGGAGATGGCAAACAGCTAGAAGTGGAAGATCTGGGAGTTTTTTTTGTGCAGACAGGACAAGGAAGACAGAAATCCTCGTCTAATGTGTAATATGTCCCATAACTTGCTCACAATCTATTGAGTGTTGGACAATTGGTATCCGGGGGCTACTCAGTTTCTTTTGCAGATGGAATGTGTACAATCAAAGAATGTGTTGGTCCCGGTTATACTGGATACAGTCTAGAGGGGGGGGGGGGTGAATAGACTCTATTGGTTTTTAGCTTTTTAAACTAAGTACCATATTTACAGAATAGCCTGTTCTGTTGAAAGAACAGACTGGCAGCGGATGGGGTTCTGGTAGGGAGTTCTGTTAGCCTCAGAGAAGCAAAGGCAGTAGGCCTTCTGTTAACTCGTAGAACAAGTTCTGCTGAACACAGATACCAAGTCCAAGGAGTTAGACAGTT